ACAAACGCGCGCGTTGAACATCCGTGCCGCGAAACATTTTTTGACGCGCGATTTCGAAATCCTTCCGAAACCAAAATTTTTGAGGGGCGTCGGCATGCGCGCGCGACGACGCGCGCGTGTTCACTTCGTCGTTTTTTTTTTTGCATGGGATTTCTGACAGGTAGGTTTTTTGATAAGCGAGTGCGCGCGCGTCGCATTTGTTCAAGAGGATGGCGGGGCAGGGGACGGTGCCGGCCTGGGTGGGGCCATGTGAGCTCACAGGTAAGATGAGCATTGGGTCAGAATCATATGCGTTTTGCGCAGGTTCCGGGGGGGTGAGTGAGCTCTTGCAAACATCCCGCCCGCCCACCCGCAACTTGGTTTGCAAAACCTACGCAGTGGCGATTGCGATGCGTGCTTGGCGTTGGCTGGTGCATCTCCGCGGCCGCGCCAACCCTAGCCGCGCGCGCGACGGCAAGCTAGTTTGACGGCGCCGACGCGGCCGCAGTGGCGCCGACCGCTGTGCGCATCCCCAGCGGGCGCTTCACTGCGAGTCGGCGACTTGGGCGGGCACGGTATCATAGCAACACCGACTGCGGTAGACGCGATGATGATAGTGGCGGTGCTGGTGACGATGTTCGAACCGACGAAGGAACGGCCAGCGCGGGCGCCGATGCTGATCACGCCGGCGACAATGACGGGGTCCTCGCGTCGGTGAAAGTCTTGCACTGAGTTCGACATGCGCGCGCGGCCGACGCGCGAGTGGCCCACATGATTTTTATTCGACGCGGGCCGTGCCCCCCGAGCATGCGCGCAAGGGCGTGCGAATGATGTCGGCATGCGGCGCCAGAGGCCAGTTTGGCAGACTTTCATGAAGCTGTTGAACAACGTTTTTTTTGTTTTGTTTTCGTTTTTGATTCAAGAATTAGTAAGAGCGCGCGCAAGTGTTCAGTGTTTTGTTGTTGCTTTTGGTTGTTTTTCTTTGTTGCGTTGTTCTCTTTGTTAAGAGAATGAAAACTGAGGATGCGAAACCATGTGTTAAATTTTTCCCAACTGTCCAGCGGTGTTGGGTCCTCGTTTTGAAGAGACGGTCCCTGCGTCCATCCTTTCTCCCACCTCCCCCCTCCTCGCCCCCCTTTTCCCTGCGTTTCACCCGCCCAGCGCGGCCTCGTAGGGAGCGCCGCCGAAGGCCCCAGTGCCGCCATCCGCATGCGTCCCGCAACATCCAATTTGGCATTTTCACCCACCTAGTGCAACGGTTCGCGGCCCCGCAGTGGGCCCCACCGAAGGCCCCAGTGCCGCCGTCTGCGTGCGCCCCGAGCCATTGGGGAGCCCCGCCGACGGCCCCAGTGCTACCGCCCGCATGCGCCCCCCCACCCACCCAGTACACCGTTTCGTGGCCCCACAGGGAGCTCCATCGACGGCCCCGGTGCTACCGCCCGCATGCGCCTCCCCCAACCAACGTTTCGCGGGCCCACAGGGAACTCCACCGAAGGTTGCAAGTCTACCGCCCGCGTGCAACGCTTCGTGGCCCCATAGAGAGCTCCACCTGTGGTTCCGAATCTACCGCCCGCACACGCCCTCCCCACCCAGCGTTTCGTGGCCCCCTTAGGGAGCTCCACCGACGGCCCCAGTGCTACCGCCCGCATGCGCCCCCCCCACCCAGTGCAGCATTTCGCGGCCCCACAGGGGGCTCCACTGAAGGTCCCAGTGCTACTGTCCGCATGCGCCCCGCCCACCCAATGCAACGCTTCGTGGTCCCATGCGGGGCTCAACCGACGGCTCCAGTGCTGCCGCCCGCATGCGCCTCCCCACCCACAGCAGCGCTTTGTGGTCCCATGGGGAGCTCCAGCGACGGCCCCGGTGCTGCCGCTCGCATGCGACCCCCCCGCCCAGCGTTTCGCGGCCCCATAGGGGCTCCACCGCAAGTGCCAGAGCTGTGTGCCCCCTCCGCCTGGCGCAGCCCACCGACGGCCCCAGTGCTGCCGCCCGCATGCGCCCCCCCCACCCAGTGCAGCGTTTCGTGGCCCCATAGGGACCCCATCGGGAGCTCCACTGAAGGTCCCAGCGCGACCGCCCGCATGCGCCCTCCCAGCCCAGTGCAACGTTTCGTGGCCCCGTAGGGAGCTCCACCGGCGGCCCCAGTGGCACTGCCCGAATGCGCGCCCCCTCCCCCCCCCTCCCAGTACAGCGCTTCGCGGCCCCATGGGAAGCTCCATCGACGGCCCCGGTGCTGCCGCTCGCGCGCGCCTCCCGCGCCCAGTGCAACGTTTCGTGGCCCCATGCAAGCTCCACCGACGGCCCCAGCGCCGCCGCCCGCGTGCGCCACCCCACCCAGTGAAGCGCTTCGTGGCCCCATAGGGAGCCTTGCCGAAGAAGATCTTCACAATTGCGGTACCGATAACTGAATGTGGTTGGGTCCTTCGCCAAGATAATTGACATTCGGTTTTGCAATCGTTGCGAAACCCATGGTTTTTGAAAGATAACACAATCATTGCGTATGTTGATATACCAGGCAACCGGACTGACAGATTCCGTATTTGCCAGCGCCAGCAAGTGTCGCTCGCAGCAACAACAATAACAACAGCAACAGCAACAACGACAACGACAGCGACAACGACAACGACAACAACAGCATGACCAACGACAGCAACAGCAACAACAACAACAACGACAACAACAACGACAACGGCAACAATAACGACAATAACAACAACATCATGACCAGCAACAGCAACAGCAACAGCAACAGCAACAGCAACAACGACAACAACAACAACAACAACGGCAACAACAACACCGACAACAGCAACAGCATCAGCAACAGCAACAGCGACAACGACAACGACAACGACAACAACGACATCATGACCAACGGCAACACCAGCAGTCGCACCCAGGGAGGCCGACGTTGGCCGCGCGCCCAGGGGCAGGGGGTGACCGTTCGGCCCCCTTTCTCTCTCTCTCTGCTCCTCCTCTTCCTCCTCCCTCCCCCCTCCTGCTCGTCCTTCTCCTCCTCCTCCTCCTCGTCCTCATCCTCCTTCTCCTCCTCATTCTCTCTCTCTCTCTTTCCGGAGGTTGATAGACCTCCTACCCCGGCACGTCGAGTATGGGATTGGCCGTCTTCGGTCCGCGAGGGGGCGACGCGGCCGTCCTTTTTGCGGGTCCAGGTCCGTCGGTTTCTGTCCCGGGCCGTTTTCACTAAGGGGAGGTCTACTAAAGGGAGGTCTGTCCATCCCCGATCTCTCTCTCTCTCTCTCTCTGAGAGATCCGTAGATGTCTGCGACGACGCGTGAGACATGGCAGGCGTGACGACAGCCACGCCGACCTGACGAGAACCGAACGCAACAACGACCGTAGTAGAAACGATTGGTTCCACGGCTAACAGAGGCATGCCAACCGCTTGACAGCATGATGTGCACACGCACCGCTATACGCATCCTAGGACCGCGCAGGCATAGCAGATGGCACGGTTTCACACTGGCCCGAAACAAGCCAACCGTTGCAACGACCAATGTTACAAGTAGAGGGTGCAACGGTATATACAATTACGAGTATGATTTGAAAAGGCGAACATGAAGCCCGACAGAAACCACAACCCTATACAAAAAATTCAGACATAAAGGCAGACAGCGCGATAATACGAATGGACGCCATTATCATACGACGAGTCAGGCACGGCAGGCGTCGCGACGTCACGTTGGCCCGACAAGCACCAAGTACAACACCGACCGTTTAGAAAGCGACCAGGCAGCCTGATAAGACAAAGTGGTAGAGGCATTCCACGAATACTCAGATATAACAGGCGTCGCGGCGTCGCGACGACCCGACCAACATCAAACAGCCTGGCGATCTGCCCAAACCTCGGCAGTTTCACGTAACGTCGGTGGTGATGCTCTCATATCCCTGGCCTGCGTGACGGATGTGCCGATGGGGGCGCGATCCTCGTGAAAGGTGTGCCGAAACGGGCGGCGCCACGATGCGGACCATCCCATTCGGGCCGGTGGTGGAGTTCCCTATGCCGCAACTGTGCATCTTGCGCAGCCTGTCCGATCCGATGTCCCGATTCGATGCTGACTGGTCCTACCTAGCAAGTGAATCGGTGAGACATCTGCCGCGCGCGGCTGTGGCGCTGTCCTCGATGAGTGTGGGCGCGCCCACTGGTTGCCTCGGGTTGCTCGGGAAGCTGGCCACGTGCAGTGCGATTGGCTGGTTCTTTGCCCCCCCCCCCCCCCCTTTGGCCACCCTTCCTTTTCTTGGGTTGCAGCTCTTTGGAGGTTGAATTCAGCATCGGCGCTGGCACATCTGTGATCAAAAACCGCCTGAATCCCGCCTGATCACTCCCGCTAGGTCCTGTTCAGCATTGTGCCGTCTTGGCCCTAGTCGGCCTTGACCCGTCTCGATGGCCCCTTCCTCTGGCTCAACAGTCTTCCGTCGCTCTCACGAAAACCTCCCAGGAGCTGCAGCCCGACATCCTCCCCTACTCCCTCCGTCCTCCTCCTCCCTCCTCCCTCCCTCCTCCTCCTCCTCCTCCTCCTCCTCCTCTCCTCCTCCTCCTCCTCCTCCTCCTCCTCCTCCTCCTCCTCCTCCTGCTCTTCCTCCCTCCCTCCTCCTCCTCCTCCTCCATCCTCCCCAGGCGGCCCCTGGTCCGGGAGCGAAGGAGAGGCGCGCGCGCGCGCAGGCGAGGGCGAGGGCGGCGGCGAGGACCCCCGAGGGCGCCGTCCACGGCGGCGTCGGCCACGGCCCGGGCCTCCGCTCCCCGGGGGCCCGCAGGGCTCCTCCAGCCACGGCGCGGCTCTGGGCGGGGTGGGGGGGGGCGGGCAGGGCCCCTCGGGGGGGGGGGGGGGCAGCCCCCGCCCCGCCGCCCCCGCGGGAACGACGACGACGACGACCACGGCGGCGACGGCGACGACCACGACGGCGGCGACGTCGACGGCGTCGACGGCGACGTCGAGCTCGAGGGCGTCGACGGCGGCGGCTGCACTCCGCGGCGGCCAGCCCCGCCTCGGGTCCCGCCCGAGGAGAAGCTGGACGCCCTGATCGCCGCGCTGCCAAGCAGGCGCCGCCGCCATCGTCGTGGGTCGTGGACGTGTCAGTCGTCGTCGTCGTCGTCGTCGTCGTCGTTGTCGTCGTCGTCGTAGGAGGGGCGGGAGGAGCATGGGAGCCCTTTTGTCTGGTCCTTCGTGGGTGCCTCAGAGGGTCCCACAAGTTCTTGCGGTTGTTGGATTTCGCATGGAGTTCGTCGGATTTGGTCGACACTTGGACGAAGTCTGGACGAAATTTGGACGAAAGGGTGAAGAGGGGAGGTCGAAATCTGGACGAAATCCGATCGAAATCACGCTTGGGATACGGCCGCGGAGGTCCACAGGGCCGCCCTGGAAGCCTCACCTCAGGGCCTGTGTTCTTGAGCCACTGCCCCCCTGGGCGGGGGCATCGCCATGCTCTGGGACCGTCAGAGAGCGGCCCTCAGGCGAGACGTCTGCCCCGTTTTGACTGGGGCGAGACCTCCGGGGGCACCGTTTTGAATAGATGGTCTCTGGGGACGGCCAGCCGATCGGACGCGTCATGGCAGCAGTCTATGGGCCGATGGGGAACAATGACGCTTGTTCCCATGAGCCAGTGAGGAAGGGAACGGCTGGTGCCACTTGCTGGACCGTCTCCCCGAATCGAAGGGAGGAGGAGGAGGAGGAGTGCGGGAGCGCGCGGGCCTTTTGCGGGCCTTGAGCCAAACCGCAGCGTGGCAGCAACCCTCCCTCCCGCACGCCGCCCTGCCACGCTGTGGCGGCAGGCGCGCGCGCGGCGCTTCTCAGGTGAAGTTCTGGGGTACGCACGGGTCGAGAGAGGGAGGACGAGTAGAAGAGGAGTCCGGAGCGTACCCTTATGACAATTCTTTGCCGGCCGGGCTAAAAAAGACGTTTACCTACAGTTCCAAATCGTAAAAGTATCAAGGAAAATTTCAGTGCTAGATAAGTCATGCAGCGTGCTGATCGGTGTCCGTCACATAAAACTCAAAAGAGCGTTGCCTTAGAAATGTGGTCCGGGCGCGCCCCGGCCGGAAAGGCACCTTCACGCCGAGGCGGCGGTGCGCCAGGAGCCTTGGACGTAGTGCCGAAGAGCGGCGGGGCGCCGCCGGACTTCGGCGCGGTAGTTCTCAAAGCCGACGCGGCGAGCAAGCCCGGAGGCGGCGCCGACTTTGGCTTTGTCGTTTGCAGAATATCCCTCGCAGCCTTCTTGTTTGCCTTGCGGTTTTGTTGCTTCCGAGTCTTTTGTGCAGCGTTGTTGGGTTTGCGGGTGTACTCCCGCGGCGTTGTCCGGTAGCGCAGCTCCTCCGTCTCGGTCTTGACCAAGTTGGCCTCGAGGAGCTGCTGGTCCAAATCTGGGATGTCGTTTACCAAATAATCAACTCGAAGGTTGACCAACGGCACGTTATTCTCTGATACCAAGCTGTACTCGCCGGACACCCTATGACGAATCTCTCCCATTAAATGGTTGTACCGAGACCCCCTTTCGATGTCGAAAATGGCATCAATGTCCCCGGACAGCGGGTTCACACACGTCACCCGGAAGTAATCGTCGTCTGCGTCGTCGCAGCGCTTGTCGATGATGACCTGGAGCATGCGGCCGGGAGCTGGCTGCACGGGAGCGGCTTGACTTGGTGCTTGTCGAGGCTCTTGTTTGGCACGTTTCCGCTCGTGCTCCTTCCGGTCAGCAACCCATATGTCGACACCAACAGACACATCGGCGCGCCAACGGGAGGTTTCAGCCGGCCGTGACACAGCAGCACGGCTGTCCCCATCCCTTCTGGCGGATGCGTCTGCCTTGATCCGGGCCTGGAGCGCATCAGCTTTATCAAGCTGCTGCGCCTGGAGATCTTTCAATTCCAGGTGCCGGTCGTGCTGCAGGGGGCGGGAGATGTCGCACTTGCCGGCCAGCTCCCCGAAGTAGACCGCGTTGTCCAGCACAACGGCGCGAGCAGTGCGCTCGGCCATTCTCAGCATAGGCGTGAGCGCCATTGCTGAGGCAGGAGCTGGGGAGGAAGAAGAAGAAGAAGAAGTATGAAGAGCGCTTGCTTTAGATACTCCCACCATGCCTACCCGAATCGAGCCATTAGGGAACTGTTGGACCCGAATGCCGAATAGACGACCGACGAGGGACATGAGCTTGTTGTGGCCGAGGGCTTTCGTGAACGCGTCTGCTATGTTGTAAATCCCTGGCGTGTGACTCGGGACGACACCGCACTCGTGCAGGAAGAGAAGCGATACCTCCGCGTGCTTTTTCAAGTGTCCAAGTTTCTGGCTGTACCCTTTCTGCACAGCCTGCTCAACAGCCTGGTTGTCGAGGTGGCCGACGATCTCCACTGGGGCGGGACGCGTGTATTCCACCATCGCTGCAAGGCGGATGGCTTGCTTGGCGGTTGCGGACCATGCCAGGGCCTCGCTCTCGCCAGAACTCGTCGTTGCGATAGATTGGCGGGCAGCGCCCCAACACAAAGGGTACTGGGACCCCTTCGGACCGGTAAGCTCCAAGTAAAATCCCGTCGTGCTTTTGGGTGCATTGAAATCGGCGTCGCTCCAAGCATGCACCTGCAAGTCGTCCCACGAATCTCCGGCGTTCAACATGACGAGGACGTAGTTGTAAGTGGCCAGTAAGTAACCGACAAGGTGACCCAGTTCCGTTTCAGCCCAAGCACACCACTTGTCGACGTATCGCGCGATGCGCCCTACTGCGAATGACACCTCTGGCCGGGAGCACCGAGCAGCGTAGAAGATCTCACCGATCACCTTGCGCCTGCCCGTGCCGGCCTCTGCCGGAGACAGATCCTCAGCACGAGGGGCGGCCGTCTGCTGAGCAGGCGTGGTTGTCGGACGCGCTGGGAGGCCCGTGACCGCCTCCCAATCGCTAACTACGCGTTTGCAGTAGCCCGCCTGCGAGATCGTGCACACCATGCCGGACCGACCGTCGTTCAGTGACATGCGCTGCGGGGGGCTGCACACGCACCCAAGGAACTTCTGCACAACCTCTGGATCTTTAGACGCAAACATCATACGAATAACGGCCCAAACTGTTTCTCTGTGCTTCGTCTGCGCATCCAATTCGCAGTCGTCGACATACGTGGCCATAGTGCTACAATGCTTAGGACTACGCTGAACCTTGTGTGGTGCGGAGGCCACGACCTGTGCGACATCGCGCCATGAGGTGGCGACTCCAGGAGTATCTACTGTGAACGGGTCCTTGTTGTTACGACGTTCTGTGTCGACCCACACCTTCAAGCGAGCAGCCTTGTTCAAAAGGGCTTGGTCTGTTTCAGTGTGCCACAAGTACCATACCGCCGGCTCCTCTTCCATGGGCGTCCAATCGTTCCAAGCCAACCACTGACCGAAAGCCCTAATGAAATCGGAGCCTGAGCGCTGCAAACCGTACAGTGCACGAACCAACCGGCAGACAGGCATCCGTAGTGAACGGAATCGTTGTTGGACGTCATAGGGTAAAATGTCGATCACCTCCGCAGGGATGATGATGTAATACTCGCTCTCGCCACCCAAGTTTACTTGGAGGTACGCGCTCAACAGATCGATCGTCTCCGTCTCGCGGCCCATGGCGAGACTCCGTGCCTGTACGAATCGAGCGCCGGTCAAACTGGCGACAGGAGCCCACAAGGAGTCGGACGACGAACGAACGACACGCATGCGTTTGTTGAACAACACGTTGCCCATGGCCACGAAGCGGGCCTTGCACTCGTGGAGTGCCTCGGGCTGCTCCCAATGTTTCTCCGAAATCAGAAGTTTACCTTTGACGACTCTGGCGCTCTCTGGAATTGAATCCAGCTCCTGGGGGCCCATCCAAACAGGATGCTCGGCCATCCGCTGGAACTCTTTGGCGTACGTTTTCGTGTCCATGAGCTGCGTGACGTACGCGGACTGCCGGCCAAGGACGTATAACGTTTCTGCTACAGATTCCTGTCGTGTGATTGCCGTGGAAAACGCTCGGAACGTATCGGTGCACTGCGCCGCCCGAGCGATCGCTACTCCTACTACGTCTACTCCAGGGTCCACTTGAACAGCCGACGCAAGAACAGCGATCTCATCACGGGACAAGTCTGGCGGAACGTCGTCGTTGTCGGCGGTGTCCGAAGATGCCCAAGAAGAAGGCGTGCTGCGACCTGACTCGCGATCCCAATCCGACGAATCGGAACCATCATGACCGCGAGAGCCTGTAGTAACAGGCGCGGCGGCCTGCGAACCCAGCAGTACCTGGTTCCCTCTGGCTCGCTTGGCGGCAGCGCGTTTGTGGCACTGGTCCCTCCAGTAGGCGCGCTGCTCTTCTACAGTGGCGAATCGACCTGCACGGCGGGTCTCGGCGGGAGAAGGCGCAGCAGCAGGGCCGGTTTCAGCCGGCCGTGACGCAGCAGCACGACTGTCCCCGGGGCCCTGGTGCTGTCCTGTGTCCGCCTTTGCTGGGTCAGCAGCGCCATCACCTTTCCAACTCCGAGGGGTGTCGGCGGACGCGGGCTCGAAAGAGCCGAAAGGGACCTCGAACGTCTCAGGCTTCTGGCCGACCGCCTTCAACGGGAAGATGGAGTCGAAAGTCCGGACCGTCACGGAAACAACGGGTTTGTCTACCAACCACTGGTCTCCACACCTGCGCACCGGAGCCACTCGAATACCACCGACCGTTTTGAAATCGAAGCCTACGAAAATACCAAGTTTAGCCACAGGGTCGAGTTTGTCTGTCCTCACGGGCTTGGGGATCAAATACAACGTTTTGCAACCCCACGGCGGCCACTTGCCGATGTCGTGACAGGAGCCGCTCTCAAGAATTTGTGGGACGACCTTACTTTGGTGACCAGGTACAGTACGAGGGGAGTTATTGAACAACGCCGTGGCGTGCGTGAAGGCCTCGTCCCAGAGCTCTTCGGGGGCCCCGGACTGCAAGAGGAGGGCCCGGACGATCTCGAAGATTTCCTGGATCCGTCTCTTTGCTATGCCGTTCGCCTGGGACCGGTACCCGCCAGTGTCGGTGTGCACGAGCCCCGACTCACGAAGCCACCGATCGCATTCA